AATTTAGAAAGGAGAGTCTTTTAATAATTTGCTTGAAAAAATTAAAAACTTGTGAGAAAATAAATTTAGAAAGGGGAGTACTTTAATAATTTTATTAGAAAAATTAATAACATGTGAGAATAGAGTGGATATCTTTTAATCAGTGCTCTTGAGTATTCAATCTGATTATATAGGATTTGAATACTTTATATTTGAATTTGGGATAGATTCGAATAGTAATTTTATTATTTGTTTCAGATTTTTAAATGTTTAATACTTGAATTTATTATATAAAGTTCGGATACTTTGTATTTGAATTTAGGATGGATACAAATACTAATTTTACTATCCTAGTATTTTTGGATTTAAGACAAATTTATATAGTAATTTTATTACTTATTTCAAGTTCAGATATCGCCTTTTAGATACCTGAATTAGTTTATAAATAAATATACGTAAAATATATTGTATGCTTGTTTGGATAATTAAGAGCCTTGCCATGACCAAATAAATCCCTGTCAGCCCAACAGATTCAATTAAATAATAATTAACTGAGTCAATGGATATCTAATTGGGCCGACCCATTTATTTCCAATTTGCATTTGGGCCACAGAAATTTTACAATTTTATGGTCCAAACTTAATTTCCATGTGAGCCCACAGGAACAAAGGAAAAGAGTGGCATTGAATCTCACACGTGGAAAATAAAAGGAGTTCTTCAAGGAAAAAAAAAAAACTTTCCACGTGTCATAACCAAAACAAACCCCTAAAAAAATCAAAAACAGAGTAATAGCTCAAAAAACAAAATTATCCATCGATTTCTATTTATTATTAAAGGTTTGATATTTTCTTTCTCTCAGATGAAAAAAAAAGTTTTATTTTTCTGTTATACTTATTAAGTATTAAATTTTCAATTCAAACTTTATTTAAAACAAGGGAAAAAAAAATGAAAACTTTTGATCAAACTAAGGATTGATTGAAGTGAAAAATCTAGCTGGAAGTAATCTGGTGAAAAGTACAACATTGTGTTTCCGACGAGGATAGGGAACAGGGAACGATGTCGTCGCCGGACATTGCTTCGATCTTGGAAAACTCGAGGGACCTCGATCGGTTAAGGAAAGAACAAGAAGAGGTGCTTGTCGAAATCAACAAGCTTCACAAGAAGCTTCAAGCTAGTAAATCTCTCAACCTTTTTTGATTTTTTTTTTGCTCTTTAGCTTCCAAATTTATGATCTGGGTTGATTTATATGGTCCCTGAGATTAATGGGTTTGTTTTGGATTACCAACATATGTTTTTTTTTTCCTAAAAAATGTTTTCTGGTTTTTTTTTAATTTTTTTGTGGTGGGTTTTGTTTAAAAGAGAGTAAATTTTGTTGATGAAGAATTTTATTGGACAAGGAAGTAATTTTTTGTTATACATTATTGCTTATTGTTTTAATTTGTGAAGCTTTTTAATTTCTAGAAGAAAAGGAAAGTTAGTAATTTGATCAAAGAGGAAAGGTATAGATTTTGTGGGCGATTTGAGTATTGACTTACTTTAAAACTTAGCTACATTTATGTTTGAGAAAGAAGTTAAGTTCAGCTAAGTGGAGTTTAGAAGGATTTATGATCTTAAGTGAGGTTAAAAGCTAGGATCCTTTTCACGTAGTTTTGGTGTAAAGATTTTGCTGTTAGGATCACAAAATATGCATTGAGAAGGAAATGATGTGGGTTTGGCACAGAATGCATTGATGCCTCGTTGTATGCTTGGAATCCATATTGATAGTGGTGAATTTTGCATGTAAAATAGTGTTCAATGCTTCTTGTTTAATTACCTTTAACTGGTGAGCCTCACAATATCCATTTAGTTATTTTAGTTGAGAATTTCAGTATTATCATATTATAACCTTGCTCCTGATATCTATTTTCCAAAATCTTTTGATTGATTTAATTGAGAATGTTTGCACAAAAGATGTCAGAATGGACAATAACTGCATGAAATTGGAAGAAGAGGGAAAGCAAAAGATATTTTTTCCAATTCAATGGGGTTAAGTTTGATTAGCAGTTTCTTGGATGTGCATACAGTCAGCAGCCAGGGGTATAGAAGTAGTAGCATTGAAGGAATTTTAAGATGCATATACTCGTTATCATGCCAAAACTATTCATTTAGAAACTATCTGATGCATTATAAGATCAAATAACCTGGTGGAATTTGTGGCTTGGTTATATAATTTCAATATCAGACACTTGTTGTGCATCCTAGATCTCATTTATTTGCTCCAACCTACCATTAGTTTATCCAACAATAGTTTCAGATATTGCCTTGAAGATTGACAGGTTCAAACAATAGTTTATCCAATCACTTTTTGGATTATTATCTGGCATCAAGTAATTTACAACACCTTTAATGGATAGAAAATTTGCTGAAACTCTAGGATACAGATGATTAATCTTTAAGATTTCAGAATAGTTTTTCTTTCTTTCGTTACTTTATTTGGCCTTGTTCTTTATTAATTGTTACTGATAGTTTATACTAATCTTGAACTTCTGTATATCAACGCAGCTCCTGAGGTAGTTGAGAAACCCGGTGATTCTTCGTTATCAAGGCTAAAATCTTTATATATTCAGGCTAAAGATCTTTCAGAGAGAGAAGTATCGTATGTTCATTATCTCTGTTGGAGTCTTCTATCATTTACCCATCTATCTCTGTCTCGTCCCATTTTTTCCATTATGGTGATGGATATGGGGCTTGTGCAAATGTGGTTACTTTTTCTTTATAAATATTTGGGGCTAGTGTAGTAAAGAACTTTTTGGTTTTGGTTTTGTAGGCCTTTTATTATTCTCAGTATCGTATTAACCCATTGTGTTGGCATTGATGCAGTATTTCCAACTTGTTACTAAGTCAACTTGATTCTTTCCTGCCATCTGGACCTCCAGGACATCAACGAAGAAAGATGGGTTTGTGCTACCAACTATATGTATATGAGATATTTCAGTTCCTTTAACCTCTATATTCAGTTCTCCCTTTTCATGACAACATTTAGGATTACTTGACTCTTGAATTCTTATAAAGCACTAAGTTAAGGTCATTTCCTGGCTAGCTTGGCACTTGACTTATAATCAAACTGTGGAAGTGTTAGCTGTAAATCAAAGTGGATGTTAATAGATAAGGCTGTAACTTCTGCTATTTGATTTTCTCCATCTTATCCTGTCTCTCTTTCCCTTTTTAAACATGCAAATTGAGAGTAGTTTAATGAAACATGGAATTGTTTGGCTAATGACATAGGAGTTGTTGAGTTGATATGACCATGGTTCCAAATTATATCATGATAGTTAAAATCAGATCAACACTTTGCAATTAGTTGAAATTGTTAAGTGTTTATGTGCTTTTTATTCTTCCAAAGCCAGAGCATTGGCTATGTGACATATTCCAAAACAGAAGACTCATTTCCTTATGTGGATTTTAGATACTAGTATGAAGAGTATCTGACTTCCTATTAATGTAGCTGACGCTAAACAAATTGCAGATGGTAGTGAGCAGAAAAGGAAAAGAATGAAGTCTGATTCAGATATCTCTCGCCTTTCTCCTTCTATGCGGAGTCATATTGAGGCTTGTGTTAGTCTAAAAGATGAACAGGTAAGCTTGTAGATTTTGTGGCAAACAAAAAAACGAAATAGGCATGCATCTCCATCGCAATTGATTATTGATATTTGTTCATAGACCTAATTTACTGCATTGGTCTTCAACTCTTATTTTTGTTCTACATAACGAAGTGTACTGTTCCATATGCTTTCAAACTAAGGAGACTGCAATGTGCTGTTGTACTCAGGTAGCTGCAAGAGTCACCTCGGATGCTGAGAAGGATGAGTGGTTTGTTGTAAAAGTGATAAATTTTGATGAGAAAACGAAAGAGTAAGTATGGTCCTGTAGGACATTTCATTTTGGCTTGTTAACTATTAAAGAAAGTTTGACATTTGCCCGGTCACATACCTGATAAATATTGCTCAGCTCCAGCACAAGTTGGATTTCAATTTAGCAAGAATTGCAAAAGCAATTATGACTTTGACTATATTCTCTATCTCTCTTACAGTGTTAGCCTTGAAACTGAGTAAATTTAGCCATATGAGAATGTATGGATATGGTTCAGTACCTAATTGTAGGTCTGTTTGTACCATGTGCCTGCATGTACTTATTTTGTATGCATGCGTGTTTAGATGTACACAGAAACATGCATTGAAGTTTGTTCCAGCTTGATTAATCAATCGAACAAGTCATGGCTAAAGACTTTAGCTTCATGGAATCAATAAGCCAGCCATAGCTTAGCACCTTTTGTTTGAGCTGATTGTAAGCAGCTTGGTTTCTTTCACCCTTTGGCTGGTGTTACTACACAATAAATGGTCTAGAAAAGACTCAAGTGTTTTTACTTAATTGTTTGATGGAG